TTAAAAGCCTTTGAGCAAACTGTCTTTTCATCACGCTGATTGACTGTGATGAGGAGCCACTTGCAGTGCTAATTATTTCACGTACCTCTCACCCCAATTTGGAGCTGGTGTTCGCTGGATGAGGAGAAATATAGAATATTTACTGTGTATTGAAATGTTTGGGCAGCTTCTCTGACAATATTTGAGCTCCGTTAGCAGAAAGTAACTCAAGCAGGCACACAGGGGAGTAGACAGGCGTAAAAAGCTTTGCCTCTGCTGAAAAGGTGCGGCACAAAAACCCAAACTTGTGGTTCGTGTGAAGTCGACATGAACACGTATATTTGACGAAATTGTTGCTTGTAGCATCATTTTGCTAAATTGTGCGTGCATTAATTATTGATGTCAAGTCGAAACCTTTATTTGTCCAGGTGTGATGTAAAACTGATGTTTCTCTCCTCACTTTGTGCAGGTGGATAAAAGACCTTTAAAAATGTTTTCCCTAACAATACTACATTTTAAAACCCTGAAGGCTTACGACTCCTGAGTGCTGGCTCAATCTGCTGTCTCCTCACGTCTGATGGAAAATCAAAACCTCTTTAATTGTTTAGTCACCAAATACATGTTTTAACATTACGTCATTTTTAGAGCAGTAAATCTTTCATCCCTACATCTAATGCATGAATTTTAAGTATCAGATTAAATATTCTGAGGCTGATAATGCATCGTTCACTCCTAATAGAGTCCAGTGTGCTTAACGTTGCTCACAATGCACTTCAGTCTAAGTGCTATAGTACTATCCACAGTATGAAGAACAAGAAGAAGAAGAAAATATCAAAATTGCGCGTGCATTAATTATTCACGTCAAGTCGAAACCTTTATTTGTCCAGGTATGATGTAAAACTGTCATTTTAAAGCAGAATGCAGTGTGTCTATGAAACTCTGGAGTAGCTGCAGTGGTAAGAAAGCTGAACAGGAAGGAGATGCATAAAGGCCCATTAGAATAAATGTACGTAGTTTACAGTTTAACACCATATTGATGTAATATTTATTACATTTAACGTGAATTTGAAGTTCTTACAGGAAGTGCTTTTTATTTGGGCAAAGAAAGTCGATCTTTACGAAACATTTTTTGTGACACGTTATATAAAGTTTTCAGATTGTAAAATTTACAGGCAGATTTCTAAGCATATGAATAAAGTAGTGAGTGTTGTGTTGAGCTGAGATACTTTAATTGCTGTATTTTTTGCTTATAGTTGAATATTTTTATATTTTCCTCTGGGATTGTAGAGCTTATGATAATCCACCGTATGGTAAGGAACATTTTAGATTAAGTTTCATAAAGAATTGGATGGAAAATTTATGAATTGGCATTTTCTCCAAGCGGTCTAGGAAACATAACTAGCTAAATTGAATATTGATGTGGCATTTTTGGTGATAATAACTGAAAATATTGTCATTTTTGACCATATTGCTCTATAACGGCCATAAGCTCTCTTAACTCTAATCTACAATGATTATTCATTCCAGTAGGACACCATGACCGCACAATATATTGTCCCTTCAAACACAAAAGTAATTAATGCAAATATCTATCGGAGGATCTGGTCGGGTTGCATTATTTTAACGTTAGTTTTTGCAGTAGGACCAAGTAGTATCTCAAAACACCAAATAGTCACCAAGTCTGTGCCAAAGAAGTTTCCTTTTCATGCCTTAGGTTTAATCAGAGACTTTACGCTGCAGTAATTTTACTGAACAGCTGTGAGGCAGAAGGAACACTTGCTGAGATATTTCTGGGGCTGTCGTAACAGGCTGCATCTTATATCGGCACTTCGTCTGATTAAAAGGACATTTTTTCCTGTCACTCTGGGTCAGTTTGGCATCTGATGTGGTTTCTCAGCAGTCAGACAGACCGATCCCTCCAACAGTCGCTGTGAGGTCCGAGATCATTTCCTCAGACCCAGTTTAGCAGGAGGACGAAAGAAGCCAAAAAGAGGGAAAAAAAACCACTTCTCGCTTTGACTCCTGCTAAGAATTTGGGTCAATCTGAGGCAATCCTGTCCGCCATACGTGCCTGCCAAATGCCATTATCACCTTCTGTCCTTAAATGATCTTTCGCTCCAGTAAAAGCTGTCACTGCCATAACAAGCTGCCAGAGAGAGGTTGAAAGGGAAGAAGTTTTATGTGTGTGTTCTCGCAACCCTGCCAGTAAGACGTGGATCTCCCGTGAAGGTGTTGGCGTGGTTTAATCATAGCAGGATCCAGGTGCGTGTGGCTATAAGCACATGTGAGCAAGCTAATGCACCACAAGACAGCTGCACAAGCTGCTCCGACTCTACGGTGGGGCTCTCAGAAGTGGCAGCGTGCCAGCAGAGCTGCTCCATAACCCAGGTTTATGGCATATAAAGGAGCACATTAAAGTGCTACTCCCCGTCTGTGCACATTTCCCACTGACCACCAGGGGTCCTCACCCTGATTTCAGAGAAGAGGTGAGTTTTGCCCGTGTCAGAAAACACCAGCCTACTTGTGTTAGAGGGATCTGTGTGGGTGGAATGATGCCGTGTGAGGACTGCAGCTGGCGAGGCCTTCCACCACCTCCCAACCCTCCGCACGCTCTACGCCTAATCATGATGCAGACAAGACGCAGAGTCAGCTCAAGCTAAGCAAACCGTCTGATCCGACCAAAAGCACACTGTTTATGGGCGGATGAAAATAAATAAGAGAACGTTATTATTAAGAGTCACATGATTTCAAGTGAGAACATTTCTAAAGGATTTGCGAGGGCGGCAACACATCTGCTGCCCAAAGTACCGACATCAAGCTCAGACAAAATGCATTTGTTTAGAAGTGTAGATCAAGCAAGATCAACAGAAATGTTTAAACCGCTGCCAGAAACAGATCGGGATCACCAAGGGAACCAAAAGGGGCTTATGATGGTCACCATGGTAACCACACACCTGTTATTCTCACTTCCTGAAAGCAACCTTAATGAGAGGCAGAGGAGCTACTGAAAAAAAAACTATAAATGGTATAAAAAATGATTGAAGTATGAGTAGCAGGATGTAACTCGTGTAACTTTTTACATTTCTCTAACCCTAACCCTACCCTGCGTCGGACGCGAGTGATGTCACTGATCAGCGCCAAAAAGCGTCTACAGTAACTTAAAGCTTTATTCTGTCAAAGTAGAGCGTAAATAAATCCATTCGGACGACGAGAGCAGCTGCGTGATGTAAAATGTAGCGTTCAACAACCAGAAGAAGCTCCATTTTTATATGGAGACAACAAAGCCTCGCGAATGACGTTGATGTGGGCGAATTTGGCTTTGTTTTCGGTGTTGGGAGTTTAGTGAAAATTTTCAAGCAGCGTGACCAGTGCTTATTTTTTCTTGCTTCCTTTCTGTTTCAGAAGCAGCTGATCTACGGCTGGCTGTTGTTCAGCGTCTGCAGAAGACATTTCCTACTGAGTTAAAACCAATCAGCGTGAGTTAACCAAAAGCTCGGCTCAGCCACTCCATCCGGCCATATCGGTTATCTACTCCAGGTCAGGCACACAAGTGGAGATGCGTGCTTGCCAGGACGTTTCGCTACATTTACCCAGAAGTTCCCATAATGGAAACACACCTTTTTAACTTGAGCTATACAGATCCAAAAGGGGCGGGGCTTTCTCACAGGTTTTTTTCCCCAGAATCGCATTGTTCTATTTGAAGGAAAATTCTCATTTTTTTACAGAATTTGTCTTTGTGATATGGCGCACTGCTATCACAAATCATAGAATGGTAAATGGCCTGTATTTGATATAGCGCCTTCTAGAGTCCTGGAACCCCCCCAAGGCGCTTTACAACACCATCAGTCGTTCACCCATTCATACACACATTCACACACTGGTGGTGATGAGCTACGATGTAGCCACAGCTGCCCTGGGGCGCACTGACAGAGGCGAGGCTGCCGAGCACAGGCGCCACCGGTCCCTCCGACCACCACCAGCAGACAAGGACACAACGACAGCGACAGACTGAGCGTGGCTCGAAACTGCAACCTTCAGATTACGGGGCGAGCACTTGACTCCTGTGCCACCGTCGCCCACACTATTCCTGGTCTAACCACGTGTTTTGATGTGTAGCGTGTGTCGGTGCTTCTGCATTAGCACCGTTACAAGGATGCTGTCTGCAGTAGACGGCCTGGTTTACATTCAAAAATCAGCTTCTGCTTCACCAAAACCATTGTACTAATGTTCCATTAATCCCCAGATGCCTTTTTCCCCTTAAGGTAAAATAAAAAACAATAAATTAAAGCTATTCATGGGTGTTGTTCATTCAGCATGATAATTTATGTTTTACACGGGCGGTGTGGTCTCAAAGGGACTGGTCGTTGTCCTGGATAGCAATGAATCAAATCATAGAGCAGAACTGTTCTTCGTGATAACCGACAGCAGCAGCTGCAACGTGCGTGGATAACTACAGGACTCGTGCCTGGAAGAGCCACTGAGAGGTGAGACATAAAAAAGACCTGAACACACTCACAACATCACATTTTTCACATCATATAAAAGTTCTATGTCTTTCGCTTTAGAAGCTTTATTAACATTTAATAGACTCTCGAAGGGCTCGCTCAAACAAAAATGGGCTTTGAAATAGCGAGCGATGCCCGCTCTCCTCCTTTCAAAAGGCAGGAAACAATAGCCTCCTGAAGATGTCTCTACAAATGTCTTCTCCGACCCCAGAGGAATGACTTGGTCCACGAGGAAAGGGTTGCGTGCTCAGCCCTGTTGTACAAGTGGACCATACGTCTGCTGAGGCTGCTTTAGCTTTTATGATGTCAGATATGGTGTTAATAACAAAACAAGAAAGCTTGCTGCAAGAGGCCCGTGCTGCAAACATGTCACAGCATGATACACACACAGTTTTACGACATCAACAACAAAGTCATTACGCTTTTTATAGATACAGTTTTTGCAAGCACAAGGGTGCTGACTGTAAAACGTCTGATTCTATGAGACTTTTGTCCGAGCACGCAGGCATACTGCACCTGTTTTAGGGTCCACAGAGAAATATGGCTGTCCTTGCAGAATGCTGTAGACTATTTTGGCGCTATTTCCGTAGGTAGGGTCGTCAGCATCGCTCGCCGTGACTTGCAAAACTGAGGTACCTAAAGAGGAGCACAGCAGAAAGGACTTTCTGTTAACAAAGGAACAGAGATGCATGATTGTGGAATAGGTTTATGTTTTACATGTTCTAGAAATCAATAGATGGATGCAGAAGAACTTTATTTTCCCATTTTAAGAGTGTTGTTTTTATCACTTAACCCACTGTGGAAAGCTGCCTAAGAAGAATAAGAGCCTTATGTTGGATCAGACAGATGAAGTAATGGCCAGGCCAAAGACCAAGGCCACGGTCTTACATTAGTTTCAATCTTCTTCAACCAATCATGTTTGAATAGGGCCTCAGGGAGCAGGTTCCGATTTGGACAAGAGGTGGGGGACACCCTGGACATGTCTCTAGTTCATCACAGGGACATAAGGCCCATATCTACCATTGGGATTTTGTCATTTTACTGGTCCATTGCAAAATTTGCATATCCTGATTTCATCAGGCCGGCCTGAAAGCACCACTTTCTAGGAGATTTCAGGAACCAACTGAATACCTGAGCTGGAGCATGTACTTGGAAATGGTCAGTGGGTGGCACTTATGTTCACCCCTGCTGAATGGTTGTAGCTGAGTTGGAAATTATATCGTAGAACTTGCCAAACAACTGTCATTTGTGAAACTGCAACCGGTGCTGGTCAAGCAGTATGGGAGGAAAAGAAAAGAAGCGGCATTCACACAGCTTCAAAGTAGCTGTTTTTCAACTCTCAACGCCTAAAAATGCAGCGGGAATCCCCCCACATCGCTGTAATTCAGTGTGCTCTGTGGTCTCCTTCATAGCACTGTTAAAAAGGTGCTTCTATTGATTATTAGGCGCCAATCTTTACATCATACAGCCACTTCCTCCGTCCCTCGAATGCATTTAAATATGGGGTATGTCTTAGCAAAGTCCTGAAAGGGCTGATTTCTTATGAAAACACAATGAGCGAGAGGGCAGAGCCATTAAGTGTGTTTACATGCAGCCAGTAACCCTTTTAAAACCCGAATATTCACAATAACCCGGTTCCGCAGGTCCATGTAAACACCGCCAAAAACCCGGATATGCTCATAACCGGGTTTTTTAAAACCCGGTTACTACACCTGGGGTAACCCTTTTCTAACCCGAATGTTTGGTCATGTAAACGCATATCGGGATATCCCCATCAAAGCGTGTGTTCTGCACATGCTCTGTTTGCAAGGAATCTTGGTCTTTTGAGTAGCGAGACGTCTTGTATGCACCAGAACACCGGAAGTAAACAAGTTGGGAGCAACATGGCGAGTCGCGGCACAGCACCACACTTTTGGAGTGACGAGGAAACTAAAGCGCAAACAAACGCGGTCGCTATCTCTTCCGAACTGGGAAACATGTTGTTGTTTTCACGGATACTGGAACAAGAAGAACCGGAAATGGCGCATATTGCGTCTGGACGTAGTCCATACGTCCTGACGCTACCCCAACGTCCGCATTTACATCGGGTTATGCAAGTTAGAGGTAACTCTTTCTATTTATGCTTGTAAACGGGTTATTCCCAAATACCGACCTTAACCCGTTCATAACCCGGTTATTGGCTGCATGTAAACGTAGTCATTGTATTTTACCCCTATAGTAGGAACACAAGCACAGAGACAATTCACACAGCACACCTAGGGATAGCTTAGAGTCACCGATTAACATAACATGCATGTTTTTGTTCTGTGGCAGGAAACGGCAGCACCTGGATCAAAGCCAGACAAAAAGGCTGCAGCTGGGATTTGAACCCATGACCTTCTTGCTGCAAGTCAACAGCGCTACCACCATGCAGCCAAGACCAGAAAGAGTTTAGGCTATGATAGTGTATTTTTCCTTGCCAGTAGATATTTATTTATTAAGTAAAACATTCTTAAGAGTAATGTCTAATTGTAAAAATGCCTAAAATGCTCCATGTTGTCACAGGTTCTTACAGGAGTCCGCAGGACTTCCGTCAGCAGCGTGTAGTAGGACGTTTTTAATTTACAGGCTCGCGTTACGAGTGCGCTCACTTGGTTTTCTTTTAATTGGAAAAGATGACAAAACAAAGGGTCTCATTGTTTTTAAAGTCTCTGGTACGACCCGATTCATCCAACAACCAAAATAAATGTTCTTTATCATTTAAGTTCACATCCCTGAAGGTGGAAAAAGCACCACAAATAACTTGATTCTCTCTGGGAAGTTTGCAGAAATAAACGTTTTAAATTAAAATTTCACCCTAGTGGGAGAAAATTTCTTTATAGAAAAGAAATGTATCATTTTTGTCATTCGAAGCAAAATTATAACTTGAAACAGATAATCTAAAGCTAAATATTGTAAAATTATGTGTAACTTAATTTTTAAAAAAAAAATGCTAAAAAGGCCTCCGGCAATGCCCCAAAACTCGGATTTTCTTAATTATTTCTTGGAGCAAAATGAGGTCTTAGGCAGTGCTGAAAACCTATCACGGTACCAATGATTCAGAAGGATCAGACAGCTGAACCACCCGGCTTGAGCCCCGCTAATCAATTAAGACGGGAAAAAGAACATCACCACCAATTAGCTGCCACACTCCGAGACATCCCCTTCCCACACTTAGGAACTCCCGTATTGACAAATGTGTGGGGATTAGTGCTGCGGAGTGTGAGGACAGTTGATTGTTACAGCTGATTTGACGCTGAAGACGCTCAACTGAAGCAGAATTACTTTAAAGGACATGAGCAAAAGAGGGGGCGGAAAAAAGACTAATTATTTTCCCCTTCACAGTCCTTGATTTCCCCCCTTGGGTCATCAACTGTGATTGATTTTTTCTTCTTTTTTTTAGTGCAACTGATGAAGAAGTTTGTGGTAAAACTTTGAAAAAAAAGTCCAGTTGGAACTTATTTTTTTGTTGTTGTTGTTTTTTAACTTTACTGATAATTGTGTTATGCATTAATGACTTTATCCTGCTCAACAATATTTGAAACATGATATTTTACTCAAATGACCATCCATCCATTATTATCCTGGGTCGGGTCATGGGGATGGCAGTCTGAGCAGTCTTTCCTTTGGGATTCCCCCGGTTAGACGGGCCCGGAAAACCTCACCAGGGAGGTGTTCTCTCTTTGTGGAGGAGCAGCGGGTCTACTCTGAGCCCCTCCCGGATGACTGAGCTTCTCACTCTATCTCTAAGGGAGAGCTCAGACACCTTGCAGAGAAAATTCATTTTGGCCACTTGTATCCATAATCTCGTTCTTTCGGTCACTACCCAAAGCTCGTGACCATAGGTGAGGGTAGGAATGTAGATCGACCGTTAAATCGAGAGCTTCACCTTCTGACTCAGCTCTCTCTTCACCACGACAGACCGGTACAACGCCCGCATCACTGCAGATGCAGCACCAATCCGCCTATCAATCTCACGCTCCAGTTTTCCCTCACTCGTGAACAAGACCCCGAGATACTTAAACTCCTCCACTTGGGGCAGGACCTCATCCCTGACCCGGAGAAGGCATTCTTCCCTTTTCTGACTCAAGACAATCGTCTCTGATTCAGAGGAGCTGATTCTCATCCCAGCTGCTTCACACTCGACTGCAAATTGATCCAATGAATGCTGGAGATCACTGTCTGATGAAGCCAACAAGACCACATCATCTGCAAAAAGTAGAGACTCAATCCTTAGACCACCAAAGCAGATCCCCTCAACACCTTGGCTGTGCCTAGAAAGCCTGTCCATAAAAGTTACAGAATCGGTGGTAAAGGGCAGCTTTGGCGGAGTCCAACTCTCACTGGAAACTAGACCCAGCTCTGACGTCGGTCATACAGGAACCTAACAGCATGTACCAAAGGACCAAAGCTACCCCACAGGGCCCCCTTCGGGGCGTGGTTGAACACCTTCTCCAAATATATAGCTTTATGTACATACGAGACTTAAAAATGGTCCAGATGTCAGATGTTTTGAAAATACTTGATCTATAAAAAAAAGGGGGGGGGAGGGGGGGGGGAAACTTGATCTAAGTGATTACACATAGAGAATAATGAATCCTTTCACTGAAGCAATAAATCATAATGAGTAACTTTCCTCCAGAAATCTAAATTAACAATTACATTTTTGTTTGTTTATATAAATTTGGTTTTTGAGAAAATAAATAAATAATGTTGGTTTGTTTACTAACCTCTAAATCTAGTGTAACCATAAAAGATTTTGCTCTGCAGGTCGGTCTAGCCACGCTCCGTTGTAACCTCAGCAGGTCTAACAAATCGCCCAAAGAGTTTTTGTGTCCGGACGTCTTCTACATCATTTAATGTACTTATAATTACAACAGGCAATGTCAAACATCCACACGTCTCCAATTACACAAACAATGTGGCGCCTACTAGTGGTGTGGAGGAGCTCCAGCTGAAACCTTAAAATGCTAAATTCTTTACGATTATCTGCTGACTGAAAAAATGAATGTGGATGACATCAATCATAAGTATGATCATGGCGGTCCAAGTATTATCGCATTCGAGTCATGTGTTGCATTCATTTGGAATGAAAACTCAATTATCCAATCAGATATGCTTTCACCTAACAGTAAAATACTCATGCATCACACAGTAACTGATTACTAAAAATGCCTGAGCTAGAAACAAATGCTAACAAGCAGAGTTGTATGTGTGTCCGGTCAGTTTGATCTTGAATATTCGTGAATGCAACCAGGGACTCGCTGCCTGTTTGTAAAGAGGACTCCCACAGGTCCATCCAGGTCCGCATTTCTACTCAGCGGTTGACATCTGCTTGCGGCATGGAGCTGATGAAGCCGTTCAAGCTTTGCTTTTGATATCTTTGTAGTCTAAAGAGATATGTGAGCTGTTTTAAAGTGTATTTTTGTGTAAATTGTATAACTAACTACTAGATTACCCATTAGATAGCTTCCTGAAAGGCTTCTATGCTGTGCACATAATTTCATAACAATCGATGCAACAGTATTTTATAAACCTACACTGCTACAACTTCCACATTAAAAGGCTATTTTAGAAGACATATTGAGAACTTTTGGCCAGATGAGCCAGGGTGCTCTAGATTACCAGGCAGGCATGAATTAAGCTTCAAAATCACATAACAGTATTTAATCAAAGTTGCAACAATGATAATAATTTAATTCTAATTCAGGCGTTAGCAAGTTTCAACACATTAGAATAAAACTAAATGGGGACTAGTTTAGGTGGTTTATATGACAGATTTTGCACTCAATCTTATCGTAGATCTTATGATGCAGAACAGTGTTTTTAGTGCTATCAAAATAAACGTATTATACAAAATAAAAGTTCACAAAAACAAAGATTTTGCGTGAATCACTATGAAATTGGAGCTTTTGTTTGCCAGACCCTACTCTAAAGCAGACTGATGCCAATTTGAAACAGCCCCGATTTTCTAGATCAGTGGTTCCTAACCTGGGGGTCCCGACCCCCACAAGGGGGCGCCAAAGCCTCTCAGTGGGTCGCCAGGACCTCTCCACTTTAAGGGGTTAAAACTTCATTTATTACTTGTTTATAGCCTATATTTTGCTCACATTTTTTTCATGAGTGAAAAGTTTACTGATATTAAGACAGGAAATAATTAGTACAGAAAGAGTAACACACTTTTAAGAACATTTTGCTCAGCTCACTGTTTTAATTTCAAGTGTCAAAAGTTCATTAAAGATAGGACTGTTTGATTAATCACAGCCTTTACAGTAAATAATCTAGTATAAACAGTAATATACACATTTAAGTACATTTTGCTCAGTGTATTTTTTATGTGTCAAACGTTTATTGAGAGGAATGATTGGTTTATCAGTGTTTACAAGAAACAATGTGTTCAGAAACGTAATACAAACTGTCAAGCACATTATGCTCTGTTTGGTTTTGTTAATGACTTTGTTCTGTACTGGAGCCTACTATTACTGTTATCTATTGAATCAAAGCATATTAAAATGTGCTTGAACAATTTTATCATTTCTTAATAATGTTTGTACTGGAAGAGAGAATGGGAGGGGGTCGTCAAAAATTTTACTGGTAAAAAAAATGGGTCCCTTGGGAAAAAGGTTGGGAACCACTGTTCTAGATTATACAGCAGCTTGTGCATGCATAATTTTTGAATCCATTAAACATACCTTCATTTTGCACTACAGGGTTATTTTGGCAGAAACATGGAACAATTCCTGCAGGATTTAGAATTTGTACTGGTGACACTTATGCTCATAAATAACCACAGAGCTGAATAACCAGGCCTTGTGTAAAGGTTTACACAATGATGTTGCATAAACCACAATGAAATTTGTGAAGAATGGAGCTGTTGCAAGCAGACAGCAATGCACTTTGGTCTCAGCTGCTCGCCAGTAAGCTATCGATGACGGCTGGCAAAGAAATTATTTATAACTTTTACACAGAAACACACTTCAAAATATTCCTTCAAGGGGGTTATTTCGTACAAATAGGAATAAATGGGATGCTTTCAACAAGCTGTCAGCTCCATGAACCTGGCATTTTATATTTTCTTTGAAGCAAAATCACTCTGACAGCCATTTGGCCACCATTTGGGGAACCTACATATCATTTTAAAATATCACAGCGTCATACTTTGGAGCGACTGTGCCATGAGGCAGAATCCACTGGACTGAGAAGAGAGTGGCTTTTGTTCAGCCGAGCTAAAAACAGAACTCAAGAACAAAGAACTAAAAGATAAATGTTTGCCACATGATGCTGGGCATGTGAGTGGCTGTCTCACTAGAGCAGGAGAAGCTTTGTTTTCCTCCATGATGTGGAGGACGCTACGGTCTTATTGGTGGAGACTGCTGTGGAGGCACTATTGAGTGCTTATAAAGACCTGCCCACTCGGGAGGGAAACCATCACAGCGACCGGGGGAAAAAAAGATGAGAAAAAAAGACACGGCAGGCTTACAGAAGATCAAACATGCTTGAAAACATTGTTGAGGAGAACAAACTAGAATGCAGCACAGGGTAAGTGCTCAATTGCATGTCTTTGTGCCATTACATTCTTCTGCAGCTTCCTTTTAAGTCACACATGAGAGTCGAAGACAAAAGTCTTCCTGCAATAAACCACAAATGGTAAATGGCCTGTATTTGATATAGAGCCTTCTAGAGTCCTGGAACCCCCCAAGGCGCTTTACAACACAATCAGTCATTCACCCATTCACACACACATTCACACACTGGTGGGGATGAGCTACGATGTAGCCACAGCTGCCCTGGGGCGCACTGACAGAGGCGAGGCTGCCGAGCACTGGCGCCACCGGTCCCTCCGACCACCACCAGCAGGCAAGCTGGGTTAAGTGTCTTGCCCAAGGACACAACGACAGCGACAGACTGAGTGGGGCTCGAACCTGCAACCTTCCGATTACGGGGCGAGCGCTTAACTCCTGTGCCACCGTCGCACCGTTTGCTGTCATCCACAAAGGATGATAGCAAACCTAACGAAACTGAAATTCAGACGGTTCTTCGCCCATCCAGCTGTTTTAATGATTTCTTACAGTTACTGACAGAAAGGGGATATCATTCAGAGGTCAACTTCATTAAGTAGCTCTACTCACCCACTTCACACATCTCTGGTACCGTTGCTACAAATGGTCTGTCTGGGAATTTAGGTGCATTATCATTGATGTCTTGCACTTTGATGATGAACTCCGACTTTGGTTCGAGGGCTTCCTCCGTGTTGCGGTCCAAAGCTTGTGCGTGCAGGACATAATGCGTTTTCCTTTCCCGATCCAGGCTCTTAGTGGCGTGAATATCCCCCGTCACCTCATCGATGATAAATATCGTCCCAGCCCCTTCTCCGCTCAGAATGTACCTGACGGATCCGTCGCCTTTGTCCGAGTTTGAGTGAAGCTGTCAAGAAAAATCAGACAGTGTGAGCATTCAGAAAAAAAATTTAAATTAAAAAATACCTTTCTAGAACTTCTTTTTCATCCTAAAGTTTTACAACCTAACTGGAAATATTGAGAAAATAGTCCTAACGAGCTGCATTCAATACGTTGAAGGTTGTTATCCTAATGCGGTAATAAAATTTAACTTATCAGCACATTTGGAAAAAAAATGAGTGTCTTGTAAATTGCAATGGACATTTCTCATTAAAGTATGATTTCTGGAAGACATTTAATCAGGAAAATAATGGAGAAACAGAGGAAAAGAATTTCAATTCCAGCTCTTTCTGAGCGTGGACTGAATTATAATAAGGTGTCATTTACATAGAACATCTGCACTACATCTGGAAAGGAGCTTTAAAGCATTTATTCCCTGCATGGGGGTCTGTAACCCCATGCCTTCCCTTAAAAGCCACCATCATCAGACATCATTTTATTAAATATTCCTCTCTCAGACTTAAGACTTCTAGAGAATCCCTGCAGAACTGCATCTGTAGAGATTAAAGGTTTGGAGGAAATCCTTACAAGATTGTTAAAGATCAGGAAGTGTTGCCTTTTTTCCAACCAGGACCCCGAGGAATGTGAGGAAACCAAACCATTGGTTCAGTCATAATTGGTACCAAGAGGATTAGGGCTTTCATGCCAGAAGCTCAGCTGGGTTGTAGTTTTAACGTTTAGAAACTCGTGTTACACCAAAGCCTAATTTCAAAATAAGAGCACTGTGGTTACTTTATGAATTAAACATTTAGTGAGTTTTAAATACCTCACTATTTACCTACAAGTTTAACTGTTTTTCATGAATGTGAAACACATCTAATCACAGTGGATAAATAGCCATTAGCCCTTTTTGTGCAGGTGAAGTTCAATAGCTGTGGCAGCCATCTTGAAAGGGCATGCCATTAAAAGTTACTACTACTACTACTACTACTGTGGTGTCTACTCTTACGCATTGACTTTAATTACATCCCACCCTTCTTTTGTAGGGTTTTTTACGCAGTCGACCAACACTTTTGCAGAAACAGCAGCCAAAACTCTTCTGGGAAGGTTTTCCACCAGCTTCATGAGTGTGTTTATGGGAACTTTTGGCTATTTTTCCAGAAGAACGTTTGTAAGGTCAAACGATGGCATCAATCCTTGCTTGCAGGCTCCACTCTAATTTATCCCAAAGGTGTTCTGTTGGGCTGAGGTCAGGAGTCAAGTTCCTCCACTTCCAACTCTCTCATCTGTGTCTCTGTTAGAACATACGAGTGCACTGATTGGTACTCTCTAATGAAATGTGTCAAATGGGTTATAAGAGTTTGAACACAGAATTAACGGGGTTGACTCCGCTTGTGAAGTTTGGAAATATAGCAAAGGGCTGCCCAATCCTGATCCAGGAGGGACACTATATAGCATGTTTTAGCTGATTCCCTGCTCCAACATACTTCATTTTAATCAGATGGGTGTTTCTAGTAATTATACGAGCTGTAGAGTTTTGAACCAACTGGCGTTTGTGCAGAGACTTCAGCAGCAAATCAAAGAGGAGGGAATTACCAGGGTATCTGCAGGTGTAAGGGAGCCAAATTTAAGACTTTTTAAGACCTTTTTTAAGGCCACTTAGACCAAATTTAAGCTACTTTTAAAATTAAATTTAAGCTAATATTTCCAGCTATTGCCTGGAACCGGTGCTAACCACGTCGCAAACATAGGATTAGCCATCCAGTTACCATTAAACTTGCCCTTCCCCATGGCGCAAGCTCCCACTAGCTTAACCAGCTAATGTGCTCATCTAAAAATAGCCCCCTTTCACAACCAACTGCATGTGTACGGTTCCGCTTACGCCAATATCATACACAAAAAATGCTGAAGACTAACTAGAAATTCAGGAAAACAAAAGGATCTTGTTTATTGGGTCTTTGGTAATTTAAGACCTTTGGAAACTGTATTTAAGGATTATTTGTCATTTTTAAGGATTTTTAAGGCCTTAAATTTGGAAAAGCTAATTTAAGACTTTTTAAGACTTTTGAAGGACCCGCGGATACCCTGATTACAGTTGTCCAAGTGAGAAATGACAAAACTATTTACTAAGATGGCGGTGGCAGGATTAGAGAGTAACAGAGGCAGGTGATTGACATTTCGAATGTGACAGTGGACTGAACAGGTAACTGCAGTGGAATGCAAATGGTAGGACAGAGAATCGTACAAAGATGTTATTTTTTAATTTTTTTTATCTGGGCCAAACAGGAAACTGCAGTGTTCTCAATAGCCAATGAGAGGACCCCAGCCTTCCTTAGTGCAGATGTTTTACCCATGAGAAATACTTCACTTTTATTGAGGTTAAACCCAAGACCTAATGTCTGATATGCAGTTAATGAGTAAAAGACGTTAAAGAAAAGAAGACAGAGTGGTGGATACATGTAACTGAGTGTAATCGGCATAACAGTTAACGTTCATGTAAAATTTTCCAAAGATGGACCCAAGATGGAGCGAGTAGATTATAAAGAATAGGGGAGGCAATGACAGAACCTTGAGGAGCCCCAAATGGTTCCATTTTTAGGTGTTGAAGTAAATGTACTGAACACAGGGATTGTTGCTACAACTTATATTTTAAACATTTCTTAACCCTCTGGAGGCAGGCGTTGCATATTTGCAACAGTTAAAACCTACCTACCTGGTTACTCCACATACGTATTTCATGAGCATTTTTTTACTCAGAAGTTCCCCTGAAGGACTTAGTTGTTCGTCCTTTTAACAGAACTAATTTTGAGCCTGAGAGGGTTAAGCCTGTTTCACACTGAATGTGGTAAGGAGGTGGTTCGGTTTCCAAACATCTTCTGGACAGACTCACAATCTCGTCGACTATTCGTGTGCTGATTGTCTCTGAATATCTGCTCCCACAACAGCACCAAATTATTAGAAATTTGACAAAATACGTTTAAAAACATAACTATAAAAATAGTGTGGACTACCGTGCAATGTGAACTGACATCCCCATTATCAATAATAAAACAAAAGATGGCAAAAACAATGCAAAACAGGTTTTATTTTGAAATATACCACATTCACCTCGCTGAAATATGTCTCACTTCCTGTCTGGCTCATTTAATTTCTTTAACTTCATGGTGATCATAGTGCAGCATGCAGACTCAAACTGTTTGGAGCTCTGCATCAGGATCTGTGCTTCTCCACAGCCTGTGTGAATGCTCTGATTGGACTCCGTGATTTTTGATTCATGCGGAAACCACACTGCACCCGTTCCATATTTGATGTGAAGGACGCTTTACTGTAGAACACTGTAAACTGACATTCTTCTAAAGGTCAACCCATCTTGTTTAAGTTAATGAGCCATCCTATTATAATGTTATTTATTGCATATATTTTAGCTCTTGTCACATAAATATAGTTTAAATAATTGGGCACTGTGATGTTGTTGGTTGTGCTCTAAATACTTGGGCAGTATCAAAATTGGGACACGTTGTTTTGGAGTCCAGAGCCGAGGACAAGACAATCTAATTTCACTGTGACAAAAATATAGAGGCAATTTATCATTATAGGTTTCTATCCAAAGTCCTGAGAGCTTTAAAGAAAAACTCATGTTGACGAAGCCTCGTTATGCCGTAGGTGTTTTTCTTTAGTCTTTTTTTTTCATATATGTAGAGCAATCTCATCAAGCCTCATATAAACGGCTATCGAACACGTCTGCAGCTAGACTCGACCTGACCAAACCAAACCCAGATCTTTATCTTTATCAGGACAAACAAAGTGACAATGCTCTGTACTCTAAACTTTACATCCATTCATACACAGACGGCTGATATTTAACATGCTGAATAGATGAAGTCCTGAGGCGAGATCTAATCAAAACCTGAACTAGCAAATGAATTTTCAATTAGCGAGTCGCTGTTTATTCCAGGCCTGACTCGATGAGAGCTGGCTGTTCTTTTTGTTGTAAATATCAAGCCTGTAATTAGAAAAGGAGTCAAAGATCCTGATGAATCAGATATTTAATCAGTGACTAGATTCTATTATTATGAAACACAATATACAAAGAGTAAAAAACCTGACATTGTTTGCTCAGTGGTGCCGTGAGAGAGGCTCTTTCGTCTGTTGATGCAGTCTGGCCCGCGTTCACCTGCTCTCTTTTAATTTAGTGTCAGACTCTAAGAAAAAAATTGGCCCTGCCGCCGAGGCGAGTTAGATAATCAATCCCCACCAACAAATTCATGATTTCTAGTCGGAGATTTAGAGTTATTACTTAACAAGAGTCCACATCCATATCTTCTAAAAGCATATATCCACACCAGTTCAGCGGTCCCCTACTCCACCTCATAAATGTAATTTTGCCCCGGTCAGGCTGCTAATTTAGCTATTGACTTCCCATGCAAGAGTCAATAAATCATGATCCGCAAAATGTGAACCAATGATGCATACTGTGACTATTGCCGTCCAAAATCTATGGGTGATAAAAGTGTCAACAGGTTGAGAACCATTTCACAAACACAACGAGCTGAAAGGGCAGCAGGGAAAGCTTCCTGTTGGTAAAAGTGAACACCATGTTAAGGCCAGGAAACAGGAAATTAAACAACAAAGACGTCTGCTGTAGGAACTTGTAGGTGATCTTGAGATTTTAGGTGGTCCTAAAGACTCTCAGAGACCTGACACCTCAGCAACAAGATGCAACTCCCCGTACCTATACAAGGTTCATCCAGGTACTCTGGTCTGCTGCCACAAGAGAACGGTGCATCTAGATAACCTGTTTCTGCCTTATAAAAAACATTTAACTCATCTGGTACATGGTTGTGACCGTGCAACTCCGAATTGGAGAGAAAAGAAAGTTGTACCAATTTTAGAATCACAAAATCATAGCTCTGAACCTTCTATTCCCTTAGCCCTAAGCAGCAATGACTTTATGGGATTTTTCACTAGTAAAATTAAATCTATTAGAAACAAAATCATTAGCATCCTCCCTAATGCGATTTCTTCTTC